CTCCCCCATCCTCTCTCTAAAAATCAATAAAAACATATCCTTGGGCGAGGATTCAAAAGAAAAGAAGAGAGCATTCATAAAGGGATATGAACATTCCTTCAGGAGGGAGAAGGGATAAGAAATACATGTAGTACCCCCTTATCTTTCCACACACCCCCTACTCAGAGGCGCATCATTTAAGTTATCAAAGGAAAGAGTCAAGACACTATGTTTTCTCCTTGAGCAGACAAATGGAGAATTCCTATGCTGATATTTTTGAAATGTGGAATAAATTTTGGTCCCCTACAGTCTAGTAATTAATATGTACATTTTCAAAAGTATACTGTGTGGAATCAGGTTACCAGGAAGTTGTTTTAGAGGTTCCTTAAATGTATGGGTTCTGTTCCCACATTATATTTGTGTGTTAATTAAAAAATGACTACTGTTGCATTGAAAGGTGTCACGTGTCGAAGCACTTGGCCTAATGGAGCCCGCCAAGGTCTGAACTTAGCCTGCTGCCCTGCTGATTCATTTAACACATCCCTGGAAGTAAGGCTTGCCCTGCTGTTCGATATAGAAGAGCATTTTTCACTGGCTTTTGTTGTTTTATGCTAGAACACTCTTATTAGTCTTCTACACACTAATGTCTTTTTTCTTTATAAAGGCTTTTGTTTTGTAACCAAGGACAGATAGAAAGAAGTTTGGGTTAGGAAAGGGGAGGAGTGGATTGGCATTTCCGCCTCCTCTCCAGGGTTCTCTGTGATGGTTTATTTTCATTTTTCTGAAAACTCTATTAGGGAATAATTGGCAAATGTAACTGTATATATTTAAAGAATACAGTGGGACGATCTGATACACATGTGCGTTGTGGAGTGATCACCATGATCAAGATGAATGAACACATCCATCACGTCACATGCTTAACTCCATCTGTTGGTTTTGGTTGCTTGTTTTGAGGGTTTTTTTTTCATTGAAAATGCTTAAGATCACTCTCGGTATTTTTCAAGTGCACACTATTGTATTATGAACTGTAGTCACCATGCTGTACGTGAGATCCTTGGAAGTAATTCTTTGTATAAATGCAGTGTGCACCCCTTAGCCGGCTTCTCCCCATTCATCCTTGCTCCAGTCCTTAGCAACCACCATTCTGTTCTGTTTCTACAAAATCTTTTTTGTTTTTGTTTGTTTATTCATTTGTTTTAAGATTCCACATATAAGGGGTGCCTTACAGTATTTGTTTTTATCTGACTTACTTCACTTAGTAAAACACCCCCTCCAGCTTTACTTATCTTATTACAAATGGCAGGATTTGCTTTTTTTTAATGGCTGAATAATAGTATTCGGTTGTCTATGAAATGTGATGCCACATTTTCTCTATGGGATGGTTCATTAACACCTATGTGCAGAGGTGAGGGGTGAGAGGCTGGAGTTGGGAGGATTCTTCAGTAGGGACTTTGGAAGACCTTAGGCAAAGGGATAACAGTTTGGTGAGCAAAGGTGGTGAAACTGAACTCAGCGCTGGGGAGGACGCCTGGGACCACGCCCTGGAAGAGGCCCTTACCCCGCACCGCTCTGGCGCCCTCCTGCTCTGTAAGGAATGCAAGCTTTAACTAGCAGCTCGGTGGGCGAGCGTGTTCTTTGTAAGTACAGACAAAGCAAAGTTTCCCCTAGAAGTTTTGTGAGCAATGGCTGTAGCAGCAAGGGGCCACAGCAAAAGTACAGCACACACGGCATATGAGGACAGCGGCTCCTAGAGGGGTTGGGGATTACTTGGGTATGTAACTGTTGAAAGTCCTGGAAATAACTGGGCACTGAAGTCTGGCACAATGTGGGAGGAAGTTATCAAGCCATAGATGTTTGGATTATAGCCATTTAAAGAAAGTATCCTAAGATTTAGAAATGAGCCCCCCCAAAACTATTGCCATATGCACCGCTTACTATTTTGAATCAGGGTTATTGTGCTACTACAGAGTGAAAACAAGACACAGGGAAGGGAGGTGCTGGTGGAGATTCCGTTTTGTGTGAGCGTGTGTTCAGGCAAACAGCCTCGTTCTCACTGATGGGTTTGTAATTAGGTGCTCTGCACTTGGGCTCCTGGAATTAACTCTGTACGTGAAAATTGTTTGCTGAATGGATGAAAACAAATTGTCATTTATGTATTGTTTAAGGACATATAGCATTTCACTTGGTTAAAACATTCCATTGATTTCTTTTAATACTCTGCTGAGAATATATTTATTGCTCTTAGAGAAGGAGGGGGGAGAGAGAGAGAGAAAGAGAGAAACATTGATATGAGAGAAAAGCATCGATTGGCTGCCCTCTGGATGCACTCTAACCAGGGATCGAACTTGCAACCTTTTGATGTACTGGACGATGCTCTGACCAATGGAACAACCCATCCAGGGCTGATTTTTTTTTTAAGTTTGGGAAGTCACAAAACATAGGATAGTAGGGCCAGAATAGTAACTGCATTCTCCTTTTCTTCTTATCTAATGGTGGTGATTTTTCCTGTGACCACTTGAACAGGCGCTGATTCTGTTAAGCAGCATTACTAAAACACCAGGACAGAAAAACAAACAGACAACAGCAAAGCAGATCGACTATAAGGGCATGTCATGATCCGGATTAAGTTACTGTGTTAAACAACGCACATGGACAGTTAAGGGGAAAAAGAGGGGAACAGAGATTTCAAATAATTGATTGAAACCGTAACTAAAAGTTAGTAATTCTCCCTTATTTCTTGCCGTGATCATTCTGAAAACAGAAGGATTAGATCGGCTCAAGCAGAGAGGATTTGAGAAGCCAGAAAAGACACTTCTTCCAGTGCAGTATTGATGGGTGCCTGAGTGTACCACTGGCCTTTTCGTTTTACTAGCCCAGCAAGAAGAATCACTGGTACCTCACTGCCCACCTGCCTGTGAAGGGCTTAACAATTGCTGTGCGTGTACATGGGGTGCCCCACCCCACTGCACGCTAGGTTAAGGGTTCCTTTTCTGCAGTTCCTCCGAATTCCATCATCAGATGGATGGGAGACCCAGCCTGTGACCAGCTGAACTTCTTTATCTAGTTTGTGGCCATATTGTACCAAGAGAGCAACTGCCTAGAAATGCTTTACACCCACACTACTCCCATTTTCTCCGTGGGGGATTTATAGGCCTATTCAGCAAGGTGGAGCAGCAACATCCCTCTGTGTCTTCAAACAAACAGCCACCCTGCTGCTGCTGTGATCAGCGTTCCTGGGACGGCAGTGATTGAAATTTAGCACTTCGAGCAACTTAATTGACACGCGGATCTGTTGAGCATATGCCGCCACCGTAGGCATGCCATCTGATGTGCCCACAGGGTGCCCAGCACCTCACACATGCTCACATTTTGCTAAAGAGGCAAGTTTTGAACAGATCCTTGAAGGAAGCCTGTGCAGTGATTTAAGAGAGGGGTGGCCTTAGAACACAGGTCCCCACATCTTTTGTGTTGCCTTGAACTTGGAACAAACGTAAGGGTATGGAGTCCCAGTGTGCTTATTGTGAAAGAAGTCTTCAGGATCTGCTCACTGGTGCTTGTGCCATCAGCAAATCAAGCCCACTGCTAGCAGAGTGGAACTTGGAAGGATTCAGCATTCCTTGGCAGCTTGCTGCCCTGGAAATCAAGAGGAGAATGTTCTGTGCTCACTGTGGCTAGAACTGATCTCTTGGCCTCCAGACAGAATCCTGGAAATCAATGTCAACATTTTTTCTGCTGAGTTGGAAACAGCAGTAATGGGCCCGATGTTCTAGGTTATGAGTATCAAGAGAGGAATATGAACCTCAACAGAAAATGGAGCAGCCCCATCCAGTTCTTTTCCTTACGTAAGAAGAACAAGTGAGGAGGGAGGAGGACATCAGGGGGTCGGAACGCACTGCCCTGTTCAGCCTCCCCAAGCGCCCGGGTGCTCGTGTACTTCGTGTAGCCAGGCGGACCCTGCTCGTTGCTGCCGGTGTCCGCCTTCTCAAGCTGCAGGGTGGGCATGCGTTTCAGGGGGACTGAGGGGAGGTAGGTCCGCTCTCTATCAGCTTAGTTTTATTCGATGAGTGCCCTCTGTCCTAACCGGACCATAGACTCCCAGGCCTCATCTGCATTTGTATCTTCCTCTGGCATTGGGAAAAACCCTGGGCTTGTAATTAATGCTTAATAAGTATTTGTTGAATTCTGAAGGAATGAACTGAATAGTTGGGGTTCCTCTGAGTGAGCAATAGGCTTGCAGAAGAGGAAGATTTGCTTTGATGTTCATGAAGCTTAAATTTCAGGGCCCCTAGATTGTACGGGTCCCTTCCCAGGACCTGCTCCTATTTTGAAATCATCATCTTATATTCTGTTTCTTAGGGAGGGCCTCCCAAATTCCGTACACTTCAGGCCCCCATAAAACATAGATTTGAGCCTGTTAAATGCTGTTGCTGAGCCCTTGTAGCTTCTTCCATCCAGTGGCTTTTCCCAAATTTGGGGAGTCAGAAGAAACTTGATAAAGCCAAGCCTGCAGAAGAGAAGCGGGGGAGGGAACCCCAAGCTAAATCAGGATAATTTGGATTTCTCACCTAATTTAACTCCTCACAGCCACCCTTTCTGGGACATAGCATATTGGGGTTCCGAGAAGCTCAGTAACCTGCCCAGCGTGGTGCAGCCTCTAGGGCTCTGTCGTTGACTCGCCGAACCATGTGTGCAGTGGCTACCTTGCAGGGCAAATGTCTGACAGCTTTGCAAGTCGTCCCTGAAAGTTTTAGGCCCATCAGGGTAAGAAATGCCCGGAATGGCAGGTGACTCTTGCTGTTGGCCCGCTGGGGAGAAAGTTGGGGAAGGGATCAGGCTTGAGCAGTTCAGTGGAAGGCACTGGCAAGCCCTTCCCCAGTGAGTGTAACTGAACGCAGTAACAATTCATTCAATTACGTTAAGCATACATTAAAGGGATCCTAAGCCCTCCCTGGGGCCATTTCACTTCCATGAGACTGTAATTGTTGGAGACTAACCATGATCTCTCCTTTTGCCTTCAGGTGATTCTCATTTTGACGAAGCTCTACGACTATAACCTGGGGAGCATCACTGAGAGCTCACTTTGGAGGTAAGCAGAGAGATGAAGCTAATGATTGCTCTGTTCTTTAAACTTGCCCACACTTGCTCTGCCCCACCCCCTCGGTTCCCAGGTGAGAAGGTTTCTGGTTCTTTGTACCTTTCCTTCCTCTGTTTGCTCTCTGTTCCCCTTAGCCACGGTCGGGGTCTATCTCCGGGCCAGATCCTTACTTCTTCACAGTCTCTTTCTTTGTTCACAGTCAGGTCTTTTGCTAAAGTGTGCATTAGGCTGTTGTTATGTGTTTTGGTTCCCACAGTTCTCACTGATCTGTGAGCTTAATGGAGCAGGAGCGAAACAATGGGGTATCTTTACAGAGGGGATCAAAACAACTTCTAGGTCTGCAGAACTCCAGCAAGCTCCAGGTGCCACACTCTCTCAGCTTACTTTCCGTGATTCCGCAGCTCGATAGCATGCAGGTGTGCACACACTCTTATACACACACCTTCATCTCTGGGATTCACCCTGTATCCCCTCACACTTTTAGAGTGTGCAGTAAGTACTTCTCAAATGAATGATGGGGATGCTTTAGGAGTAGACTGTGTTTTTGAATACCAGCACCAAAGGAAGTCCCTAGGAACCCAGGGAGCTATTATCTTGGCCTTTTTTTTAGAGACTATGTAATCTGTTGTTTCTGTTTTTAAAAATCCCTTTATCTCACTCCTAATTGGGTCTCTTCCATCAGCCTGTGTCATGTGCCCACACCTGAATCAATCGCTGAAGCCCAGGAGAGCCTCTGATTGGCTAGACCTGGGTCACATGATCATCTCTGAACCTGGGAGAGGATGAAGAAGACAACTCCAGAAATAATATTCAGCGATCACTGGCTTGGTGTCAGGCCCCTAAGGGAGTCTCTAAGGGAGACTCGAGCCCCGAGCCAAGAGGGTTCAGGGCTTTGTGTAGGAAAGAGCTCCCTGTGGGAGCCAGCCCAGAGGTGAAAGCAGAAGCAGGTGGACTGAGCTGGGAGGGTAAGCAGGAACAGCCACTCCATAGCGTGGTGGACTGTCCTCGCCCCAGAAGGAAGAGCGACCCCAACCATCTCTAGAGGTTGAGCTTATATCTGTTTGTAGTTTCTGTGGAGGATGACTATTATGGGGAAACACAGTGGAAAAATGTTGAAGCTAACTTTAACCTTCACCAGGTATATTTGTGGTTTGTTTCCCCTTTGTGGTATGGGCAAATAGTTAGGTGTACCCATACCATAATGGGTATAGTAGCTACTGTAAATGGATGAGTGCCCATGAAACTTGCAGAGATTTTTCTTCGTTCCTGAGCCTCCTTGTGGTCTGCCTGCATCTCCTGTCATCTGACTTCCCTGTCAGGCAGCATGCATCAGACCCCTGACTTAACTCTGACTTAAGTTCATTTGTATAGTTCTCATGCCCCTCTCTTACAGTGTTCCGATCCATCACCGCCAGGCTCATATAACAATGCTGAATATCACTTCTGACCGTTCATCCCCAACACACATGCACGCACACACAGTGACTAAGTGGGAGTGGTTATACTAACAACAGGAAAGTGGGTGTGGTCTTTGAGCAGACAAAATCTATTGGGTGTCCACTGTTTAAGATCAATGGGCATTCTATCACCTGTCCATTCATGTGACCGGCAAGCCTGGCTACCAGCCCTCAGTCTCAGCACTAGAGTTTAGGGAGGAAGACTCCAGGCGCCCCATTTGTGTTAGGTTCTGCCCTGATACAGTCAATGGTAACTGGGAAGGGAAGGTTGGTTGACATAGTAGCAATGTGATTGCAGGGCTTTCCCCTGTATGGGAATGCTGGTGTCATATACGAGGAGCATCCTGGATCAAATAGACACCTGGAAGGAATTTGCCAAACCCTGCAAAGAGATTGTTTATTAAATTTCACTTTTACCTGATGCGTGTTTCCCATTGGTCTTGACACTATGTACAGGAAGCCCCAGATTAGTTGCTCTGTGCTTTAGGAGGACTCCAATAGACCAAGGAAAAGGATAGAGTCTGTTCTTTCATTTGTTGTCAGGCATTTAGGTTATTGAACTCCTCCCCCTGCTAGGAGGTCAACTGTGCAGAGTTTATATCACAGGGAGATTTTGTAACTGAATCAAAGTGTGGCAAGTTTTGTAGCACTTCAAATAATGCAGTCCTTTAATGTATTCAGGGCCTGACATCTGCTGTATTGTTTAAATCCAGTTGCTGCTTATCAGAATCTCAGTGACTGAATGAGCTTATGCTTTGTTGATAAATTTCTCTAATGTATTTACATATATGAAAGTAAAAGCCAGCTTTTATTCTGCGATGCACCTGCCATATAAAGTGTAGTCGGCCTATTAGAAAATTAAAAGGTATGCAATTCTGTCTCAGTGGGACAGGCTTTTAGCAGCCATTACTGTCAACCTGAGCTGCAGGAAAGGGCACACTGGAGGGACACGAGGCTCAGCTTGTCCTAGAGGCTGGAGCTCACGTTCAACGTGCCTCTTTCCCTCCGATGGGCATTGTTACTCATGCCCCAGTCTGGGAAGAATGTACTTAATCTACTTTTCTGATCTTAAGGGAAGAGGTTATTGCAATTAAAATGACGTCGTATTTCAGTAGTATCGGGCCTCCTTTCTGAGGGAGCAACCCCAGGGTCTTAAACTTGGTCCAGTGTGCCAACAGGGACCCTCTGACTTCTCAGCCTTAATATATGTATTAAGTATATATATGCATACACACACATACATATATAAACACAGTATACCCACACATATTTACTTTCCTAACATACAGTAGCCATTTGCCATATATGTCATGTGTTGCGCAGTGTCTATGACAAATGACTGCTGTGGGTGTTCTGTGCTGTTAGAACTAATTATTTTAACACTTTGACAGAGGAACACATGCCTCAGCGAAAATATAATTTAGAAAAGAAAGAAGGGAAGGGGAAGGAACCATATTTAGAACGTTTCACAAGGGCTTTGGTAGAGCTGGCATTTCTGGTCGGTTCGCGGTGCCTGCCTTTGGTCTTTAGGGAACGTCTTTGGAGGTGTTAATGTGGGGAGATGTGGGACCAGGAAGAGAGCTCCTCACGGTTCTAGTCATCTAGTTTGGCCTTGCTTAAAAATAGTAGGATACTGCCCTGGATGGTGTGGCTCAGTGGATTGAGTGCCGGCTGCAAACCAAAGGGTCGCCAGTTTGATTCCCGGTCAGGGCACATGCCTGGGTTGCGGGCCAAGTCCCCAATATGGGGTGCGTGAGAGGCAACCACACATGGATGTTTCTCTCCCTCTCTTTCTCCTTCCCTTCCCCTCTCTCTAAAAATGAATAAGTAAAATTTTTTAAAAAGTAGGATACTAAAATGTTGACTCATTTGCTCCTCCATCAGCTTGCACTTTCTTCTCAGAACACCTGCCTGTGCCCCAGGCCTGGGGCTTGGTGGGGCTCAGGCCAGTTTGTAGACTCTCAAGGCACCTGCAGCCCTGGGTGCAGGCGTAGCACAGAGATGATGCTCAGTAGGTGTCTGTTTTTGAAAAGGCCAGTGAGTACTACAGTTTTCATCTCTACTCCTTGGCCGTCAACATATAATCCTACTTCTCATTCAGTTATTCAACACAGGTGAATCAATGAATGCCTTTAATCCCTCTTCTTGTTCTGGTCCAGGGGAGGGGAGGTGGGTGCATGCACAGATCAACAGCATGTAGGCTCTGTCTTCCAGGGGTTCATCGTTCAGGGGGGCAAAGGTCTGTGGACAGACAGTTAAAGTAAAAGAGGCTCATAACCTGCCCTATGTAATTGTACTGAATTAGGTTCTTAAGCAGCCACCCAAACTGCCAGATCCCAGAAGAAGATAAATCTACTGTAAATAGACACACTGTCATACAACCAGAAGTTGTAATAAAGATATAAGTGTTGCTTCTTTACTTTGCTCAGGTGTCTATTTTCTCTTCTCAACTAGGCTTAAGTCTTTAAACCCAGCACTTGCTGGTTTAATAATGGCAATGAAGCTGGTAACAATGGCGATACTGACAACAATGATAAAAACTAGCTTTTACTGAATACTCACTATGTACCGGGCACGATGCTGAGTGCTAGACGTGTGTTGTCGCATGCTCTCAGTTGATTTTCGCAGTGTATTCTGGGTCACACAATTAGTAAATAGCAGCCCACACACTTACAGGAATGCGAGTTAATAAACTTGAATCATTTCACTGCTTCTCCATCTTCTCAAGTCCCAGCTGCCTTGTGGTCAATCTTTCTATACCTAAGCAAATAAGCAAATACAACTTTAATCTTATATATATCTGGTTTTCAAAGCACTGTGACATTCTGAGCAGCATTTTGCCTACTAATAGATATACACAGCTTTCAACTGAGCCCCTATTCTTGGTGACCTTGACCAGCTAACTCCATCACAGAGGGCAAGCCACAAATGCCCTTGGGGCCTTCGGTGTGTTAGAAGAGGAGAGAGGCCAAGAGGTGGCTGACCTTGTGGTGTCCTAGAGCTTCATACCTGGCTGCATCAACAAGCCCAGGATGACAGAGTGAGATGCCGCTGTCCCAGATTAATGAGCTTTTACTCCCGGCCGGTCTTGTCACTGATTACACCTTAATCCTGCAGCCGGTTGCTGATGCGGGTTCGTGTTGTGCCGTTGTGCTCTCGGGGAGCCGACCTGCTGGGAAGAAGGATGAGCTGACCCAGGGCAATTAACTCCGCCTCAGAAGCTTCTCCACCTGGCAGTGGATTAAGCTTTGAGATTTGGGAGAGCTGGTGGTTTTACTATATTGAAGCAAGATAAGCTTAAGGGCTGAGATAAATAAAATGTCAAAATCTAGATACGGTATTTCTGCGCAGAACTATATTCTTCTTTTTCCCCTCTCCTGCCAGGTAACCTGCACTCTGCTGACAGGCTTAGCCGGCGAGAAAGCCCCGGGCAGTTCTGGAAGGACTGCAAGGCGCTGTCTCAGAGGGACACACCCACCTCTGCTGTCTCTCTGGGACAGAGCTTGCCCAGCGCAGCTGACTTCTTTTCCATTT